AGGACTGCTGCGTCCAGACCAGGAAGGAGGAGAGCCGCACATGGGACCTCCTGACAAGGGCACTTCCTCTCAGGGCGGCCTCAGCGTCCGCTGGATCGTTTGCCTTTAAGGTCTAGGTGTTTGAGAACAGCAGACATCCAGAATGGATTTGTCTGTTCCCCTTCCAAGGGTCCCTCACACCCCCTCATTCAGAGCTTCCAGAGCCAAAGTCGGGGCCAGGGGGATGCCGAAGGGATCAGAAGGGCCGGTCCGGATTGGCCCGCAGAGAGGAAGGACACAGCGTGACCAGCATTTCATGGGACTGGGCAGGACGTGATCTCGGCGAGGGGTCCCAGCGACACCTTGGGAGGATAGCTTATTCCAAAATCCAGCCTGAATCACCTGCATGCACCCAGCGACATGGGCCACAAATAGTGCGTCCCGTGGAAGTCCGTGAACACCTCCACACTTCCCTTATTGGTAATGTTTGTGGGAAAGATGGCCTTGTTCATTTTTCCTCCCAAAGCAAACAGCTGCCGGTGCGGAAGGATGCGTTTGGGGGACTGGGCGCAAGGCCGTGTTGAAGGAGCCGCCAGCCTCTGAGTCTGGAGGACTTCGCTGCTGGCGCGAACACAGACCATTGTAGAGACTGACACACTATAACGTTCAAGGTGAACTTTCATAGTTCACGTCCAGGCAGGCTTCCAGTCGGAAATGGTATTTTGATGACCTGGAGTATCGCTGGAGCCCAGGAGACATAGTGAGTGTCAGGTTGGGCTGCTAACCACAAGGTCAGCAGTTTGAGACCACCTGCTTATCGAAGGAGGCTTTCTGTTCCCCTAAGATTACAGTCTGCCCACGGAGGTAGTTCTTCTCTGTCCTATAGGGTCACAAATGGACTCAGTGGCAGTGAGAAAGGTATGTATAGAAGCGGTCTTTTCCAGTAAAGAGTCACAGCTTCAGAAGCACGGGACAGTTCTCCCTGCCCCTCTAGGTTCATTTGAGATGCATTGATTCAATGGCAGTGAGTTTGCGTTTTTATGGAGGTTTTTTTTTGGGGGGGGGGTGTCAGTATTACTAAGGAGTCCTAGGGGTGCTGTGAGTTAGGCTTTGGGCCGAGAACTGCAAGGTTGGTGGGTCACACCCACCGTCCCTCTGTGAGAGAATGAGGAGGCGGTCCGGTCCATTAAGGGTGTGCAGTTTCAGAAAGCCCACACTGAGTGGGAGGGAGTGGGGGTGTTTTCGGCAGAGGGACGTTACGTCCTTGCTGGGTGCCGCAGAGGGTCTGCGCCTGACTGCTAACGGGAAGGTGCTGCACCGAAGAAAGATCTGCCGACCCGCCTCCTTAAAGATCACAGCACCAGAGCCCAGGGGCGCCCAGCCCCGGAGCTTGTGGTGGCAGTGGCAGGGCGGTGGTTCCGGGTCCAGGCCGGAGCTCCAAACTAGCTCTTCTAGCTCTGTTTTCAAGTCTGTAAAATGACAACTTCACGGCCTCCACCTTGTAAGGGACCACGCGTGGTCAAGTAGCGTGACCACGAACAAGAGGAAGGCCCTCGGGGAGATGGATGGACAAACACTAGGCTCACACAGGACCGTGTGAGGACAGTGCAGGACCAGGCGATGTTTCATTCTGTCGTGCATCATCAGGTCACTGTGAGTCAGAACCAGGGCACCTAACAACAACCTCGGAGTGATGCGTGCGTGCGTGTGCGCGTGCGCTTTCAATGCAGTGAGCTTAGTGCGGGAATGCTAACTTATCGTTGAGCGATGTCTCAAGACAGTGTTGTCTTGGAGGGGAGGGCTTTCTGCAGTCAAACA